TGAGACACAAGGACACAACTCTTGAGGCTTGAACCTTTGGAACACCAAGCCAATATTTGGGTACAGACCTGTAGGACTCCAAGAGGTGCCAGAGACAGCTAAAAAGCAGCCAGGGCTCAGGCCTCCTATCCACGCTATCCTCATGGGAGCATCAGGTGACCAGGTAGTCTCTTCCATTCCACACCTCACAGGCAAGGAGTTTGATATTTTGCAGATGATACACCCTCCCCATCCACCCTTACAAGTGACCTACCACCACGAGCAGCAAGTGAACACATCTGCAGGCACCTACCATCTCCAGTTGAATCAATGCTTTGCAACAGTTTTGGTGGCCTCAGGTTGTACCCAAAGCTTATAATTTTAAAATAACATTGCATATACCTGCCCTCTTTCACCATGAGAAAGATCTGCTAAGGAGTCCTGTAACAAAAGAAGGCAGAGGGGAAATGAGCAGCTAATTTGAATGTTGCCTTACCATCTGGATGGGCTTAAGGTCTGGGCAGGTCAGCTGTTGCCCTAAGATACCACCCTTGCCTCACCTGCTCTCAATTTTACTCCTTTTATGTTATCAATCCAACCACATTCAGCTGAACATCTCCTGACAATGGGCTGCTCAAGTGCCAGAGAATAGCTGGGAGTGATTCATTCATCTTCCGGGGCTTGTCCACAACAGACATTCAGTGATGTTAATCTGGATCAGCTTTTGAAGACACCGCTTAAACAGCGGGGAGGCTCCCAAGCAGCCTTAACCCAATTAAACATCCATCCCTTAGGACTGGAAGACCAGCTAAGCTTGCATTAAAGCCCATCAAGTGTCCCGTTAATCAGGTACACTTCAATATCACAGCTGCGGTCATCCCAGTGGAGGCCACCAAGAGGCTGGAGATGCCTGGTCATTTTTCACCTCCTTTTGTCACTTCGGTTATTTCTGCTGTTACTTTGGGTAGTGAGATGAAAGGCCCAGCAGCTCTGCCCTTATCCACTTTGCTCTCCAGACTCCCCTCCAGTTTTTCTTTTCACATTAACTGTGTCACAGACCAGACTCTCATTGACTAACTGCCCGGGGGGGACCCTCATTGAGTGCTAATTGCTGTTAATGAGCTGTTGCTGCTTTCTTTCCAAGAGCACCAATTACAATAGCACTCAGGCGCTGCAAGGAGATGCCTGTCTGCAGCAAATCGAGGCAAATTTTACTCCAGACACTGGCATGGCTCTGCCAGCATCTCCTGGAAAAATGCTTTAAACGGGGATGAGACTGGGTGAAGGATGACAGCAGGCAGCTCTCCTGCCAATGCCTGTCCCCCTGTTCTTCGTACGGTGGGTCAGGGTGAATGAGAAGTCCTTGACTTGCAGCCTATGGCTCCTGTTGTGTTGTCTTGCAGGGATGTCTACACTCGGTCCAGGCACAAGCACACGGTCCACCGGTGTGTTTCACACGTGGATGGTGGCCCAGCTGGCTCAGAGCACGGCGGGACTTGTCTTGCCCCATGCACTACTAGAGGAGGTGTAGGAAGGACTCAGCAAGGTGCCTTGATGACCTGGCTTTGTGCACAGCAACACTGCCATGGTTTCAGCATCATCCCCTGCCCCAGAGATGGGGGCAGCTCCTACCCTGGCTACAGTGGGGTCCATCCCCACCAGAACTTTATAATCCTTCTTTCCAAACCTCATTTTCCTCTCCTACTAAGCGTGGGTGAGGGTATATGCTAGCACCAAGCGTGGCCCTGGAAGTACACTGAGATGTCCATTGGCTAAGAAGAACTAGAGCTGCCACTGTTCTTCTGGAACAGTGTCTCCCTCTGGAAATGTGATTTGCCTTTCTCAAAGCTGCAGCCCAAGGAAATGAGGGATGTGCTAAGATCCCTCAAAGGGATCTTACCTCAAAAGGTAAAAGCTTTTGCTCGAGTGCTTCAGGTCATGAGAGTCAAGACAAGGTATCGAGATCCTTCACCAAAATTGACTGAATCTGTATGCTGTAAGAAATTGCCCAGCGTCTCACTCTGACTAAGAAACATTCATTTCCGCTCTTTGTGAGAGCCTTGAAATGAAATACAGCAGAGCTGCTTAACTCCACGAAAAAAATCCCCAATTTTTTGCCTTGCCACCACGATCTGAAAGAAGATTCAGTGCTGCGACCAAAGAGCACCACCTGCAGTGGGGCTTCCCTCCCCCCCAGCGCTCCCAAAGCCACAGCTCCCTCCTGGGCTCTGGCACGTGGTTCTCCAGCAGGTATGAAAAAGCGCCGGCATCTCGGTGGAGCAGCAGCCAACTCTCCTCCAGTTACAGACCGAGAGCTGTTGTTATTCACATCAAAGCACCTGGCTCCTATTGTGCCACCTTTCCACAGTTTGTTAAATTTTATTTTGCGTTATTTCTCCCGTTTTGGCTTCCACCCTAAAAATCCTTCTGTAAGTTCCCCAGCTGCCCCGCTCCTCATAAATGTTCATTTAAGTATATTACCTTACGAGCAAACCCAGAGGTACTCACTCAACGGGAGCTCTGCCTGAACAGAACCCCTTGGGTTAAGGTCACCTGCTCGTGTATCTTGAGGTTCATCCACCAACTTTGGGGGAACGGCACCGACCTAGTCATGCCCTTGAGGGACCTCAAGCTCACCTTGTTTTTTTTCCCAAACCCACGCTACCAAATTCTCACTGGTTTTCCCACAAACATATATGTTCTTCCCCAGGAGCCAGGGTACCCTCAGCAGGGATGAGCCCAGGGAGGGTGAGTGTCCACCAGCATCTCTGAAGAAGTTGGCGAAAGGCAGCTCCAAAGAGCTCAGCAGCAGGAGGATTCAACTCATGCCCCCACATTTCCCAAATGCTGGGCACACCGGATTTCGTTTTTTAGAGCTTAGCCTACAATCAATCTCGTCTTCTGCGCAGGCCAATGAGGTCTGCGGAAAGAAAATTGCAAAAGATTTGTTATTTCCCTAGTGTTCCCATTTTCCCATTCCTTTCCCACAGAAGCAAGGTTTTTGTTTTGTTTTGGTTTGGTTTTTTTTCTTTCCCAACTTTCAGGGGAAAATCCTGACAAATGGAAGCCCTGATTCATACCAGCAAAAATTTGGCCTTTTTTAATTTAAGGTGGAGCCCTTCTTGTCTGAGGATGAAAACATTCCTCTAACTGCACAGGGAGGGCAAGGACCGAGCCTTTGTCCCAGCAAAAGC